CGCACTGCGCCCTGGAGGTGTTTCCTCCCGGGTCAGGTGGACATGGACGAGGCAACCAGAAGGCCTAGACCAGGAGCGCAGCAGCAGCAGCGGGCAGGGAGCTCACTGAGGGAGCCACTCAGGGAACGAGGGGTGTGGGGCCCACAGGGAGAGTGTAGCCAATTTCAGGGAATTTAATGCACAGAAACTACTTCGTTTCTGCTGTGAACTTTCTCAACAACATAAAAGCAATAACCTTCAAAGAAACCGACCTGGGATTTTTAAGTGCTGTGGAGGGAAGCTAACTGTGGAGGCCTCCCACGAGGACTTCCCTCGACACGCCCTAGTGGCAGTGGTCTCTGGGCCAGGGCCCCTGGACAGAGGTCAGGAGGCAGCCAAGGTGACCCTCTCAAGGGTCATGAAGCTGAGCTCGCCATCACATGAGCAAGGAGCCGGCATGTAGGAAGGGGGCATCCCACCTCCTCGGGGGACGGAGGCAGCCCCCTCGTGGTCCAGGCTCAGAAAAGGCAGGGCCGAGTCAGTCTTCCTCCCCACAGCGGGAGACGGCTCAGTCCACTCCCGCCTCACATACCTGCCACAGGTGCCTACCACCAAGCCGTTGGCCACTAAGAGCAGTGGCTGCAAGCCTGTGGTCACACCCCTAACCCCTGGGATTGGTGGAGGGAGAGGTGGTCAGGGCTCCATGCATGGCCACTAGCATGTGTTATCTACTGTCCTTTCTAACCTGAATACCCTTCAGGAAAAGAGCCCCTGCTACTGCCCCACTGTGGCCCCATTTCCCTGCCCAGCGCCAGGCCCAGAGGAAGACACCAGCTCCTTACTTGGGGACACCATCTGCCTACACCTCTTTATTCTGCTGCTGCTTCCCCTTGGGTGGGGGTGTCCCTGAACTTTCTTCTGTGAAAGGTGTGCAGGAGACAGGCCAGGGTGTGGCGGTCCTGAGGTGAAGTCCCATGTGGATAAAGGAGGGAAAGTCTGTGGTAAATCCCAGGGCCTGGACATCGCCAGGTTGAGGTTACCCAAGGTCCACGGAGAAGGAGGATCCGAGACTGACGCAGGGGTAAAGGATGGAGTTTGGAGACCAGCCTTGGGGGCCCGGAGGGAGCCATGACCCTCACAGGGTCCTGGGCTCCAGAAACCTGCCCTCAAAGGTGATCCACACTCAGCAGGCACGGGCAGGTGGTACGTGTGTGTGCAGGGACCCATGTGGAGGAGGTGCAGGGATGGGTGTGCATGTGAACAGAAAGCTGTGTGTGTGAGGGACACATGTGCATGCAAGGGACAAGTGTGCGCAAGGGACATTTGTGTGCAAGGGACACATGTGTGTGTGACACGTGTGTGTGAGGGACACTTGTGTACGTGAGGGATATTTATGTGCGAGGGACCCGTGTGTGAGGGACCTGTGTGTGCGAGGGACACGTGTGAGAGAGGTGTGTGTGTGTGCAAGGGGCGTGTGTGCGCGTGCGGATGCATGTCCATTCCCATGTAAATGTGCTGGGGTGCACGAGAACATGAGTGTTTGCATGGGGGTGGAAACATACGCACATGTATAAGGCCCATGTGTATGTAAACGCCGGGCCAGGTGTGAACAACCCCACGTGTGACGTGAGTGCACATGCCAGAAAAATGAGGGGCACATATGCATGTGTGCTTGAGAGTGTGGCAACGTGGACCACTTTCTGTGCAAGTACACATGTGTGTTCATGTGACGGGGTGCACTGAGCACCGTGTGGCTGCATGTGTGCCACTGGGGGGGTGTGGCTTGCTGGGCCCCCATAGGGAGAAACAGCCCCGCTGGGGAAAAGTGCTCTGCCTGGAGAATGTACTAGAACATAAAGAAGTGCCTCCCCTGTCTCCTACCATGATGGTCCCACACAAGGCGTTCAGGACCCAGAAGCCATGAGTGCAGGTGCTGTGAGCCTCCCAGGGACCCCTCCCTGCACTCACAGACCTTAGCTGACCAGTGGGAGGCTGAGCCTGCCTCTGGGCCTGAAGCTTTGAACCCCAGATGTGCAGGGGAGCTTGCCGGCTGTTCCTTTCAGGAGACGACGGTATTTGTTCAGCCTTCTCACCCTGACTCTCCTCAGGGACCACCTCAGCCTGCCCACCTGACAGACAGCCCCACCCCCTCCTCTGCCTGGCTCCTGGGGGAGGTGTCACAGTCACTAAGCACAGCAGGGGGCATTGGGGTCCCACAGTGACAAACGCCAGGGCCAGTCTGAGAGCGCAAGTGCCCAGGCAGCCCCATCTGTGCAGCTCGGATACCCGGCCGAGCTGCTCTCCACCTTGACGCTTTCCTATTCTGAGTCGCTCACCTACCCAAGGTCTGCCTGTCCACTAGGCCTCTTCCTGCAGCGTCCACAGTGTGGACCAGGATGGTGGATGGGGGGTCAGGGTGGGGGAAGGACAGGCTGGGCATGAGTACCCCACACCCCAGCCCTGTGGACAGGGCATTGCAGACCTTGCTCTGGTATCCACAGGTCAGCCTGATGGCACCGCCCGAGATGCCAACTCACACTCCACACTGGCCACCCCATGTCCCTTAGCAGTGTCTCCAGGAACATTCCACAACCAGGTGACGGCAGGTGGGCACACCCAGTAGACATGGCTCCTATCCAACAGAGACGTGGCCACCTCGAGGTCCTGCAGAGGAGCAGGCCAGAGATGGCATCTCCACCGCCACAGCTGGCCAGGCCTCTGACCAGAAGCCAGGCGCCTCGGCCTCACACACACGTGGTCGTCCAGCACCCTCCAAGCCACGACAGGTGGCTCAGCCTCTCTTGTGCCGCAGCACTGGTCAGCCCTCACAGCCGGCCCACCTGTGGCCCCCAGGTGAGGTCTCCCCTCAGGCGGGGCTGTGTCCTGGTCAGCCCTCATGGCCGGCCCATCTGTAGCCCCCAGGTGGCTGGCAGGGCCGGACCTTGGAGGACACTGCATCCCTGGCCATGCCCTGCCTCTGTACTTTGGCCGGTGACTGGCCACGACAGGGGTCCATCTACAATGAAGTCCTCCAGTCGTAGGCTGTCCTTGAGTATGTGACCACCGTTCCTCAACCTCAGCCCCATTGCTCTCGGCCAGAGCCGCCGTCACATGTGCCCTGGCTATGACCACTGAATGCTGGACGCACCCTGCCCGACCAGGGGTGGTGGCCTGTGACCTTGTAGTGTCCCCTTCCTAGGTCATCCCCTGTCCATTCCTACCCAGCACAACCTTCAATGGCCACATCCACAAACCATGGCATCCATGGAACGAGGAGGGTCCCAGACATGAACCACCCCTGGACAGGATTACCTCTCTCCACATCAAGAAACAGAACTAAGTGATCTCCATGATTGTGAGGTGCACCAGGGTGCTGGGCTCACCCCTCTGCATCCCTACCCTCCACACTGCATCATCCCATTTCACAGAGGAGGTAACTGAGGCCCAGCAAGACACAGTAGGGCAGACGGGTGGATCTGGCCGTGGGCGATGGCCTCCAGCCCTCCTGTCCCCACCATACCCGCTGCCACAGAGCCCTGCAGACCCCAGGGCAGGTTCCTCAGGGGACCATCTCCTTCCCCCCAAGCCCCTGTCACATCTGGGCATCAAGACACCCAGTGCACACCCCTTGCACCCTGTTCTTGGCGGAGCACCAGACCTTCCAGAACCCCCAGGGATAGATACCTCCCCAGCTCCTGGCAAGTTCACCCTCTGAAGTCTCCAAGCTGACACATTGTAATCACTGTCACAGCTGTTTACGCAAACATTTGCCAGCCTTCCTGAGCAGCTGTTTCTCCGAGGTGGGGGAAGGGGCATCTCTTGCCCAAGCAGGACACCAGGACAGACAGACAGACTGGCACACAGGCACCAGGGCAGGTCTGGGTCTCTGCAGACAGCTGGGTCCAGACTGGTCCTGACACTCATTGGGGGGCTCTGGGCAGGTGTCCCACGAAGGCCAGGTCTGAAGAGGCCCGTCTCTGAGGAGGCCTGGGCCTGGGGTCTGCTTGGTGGCCCACTCAGGCCAGGGGCTGCTGCTGGAGGCTGGAGGGTTCACTATGCCCTGGAGGGCCCTGGGGGAGGCCTAACCACGTGTCAGAGGGGGAGGGGCTGCACTGTCAGCTCCCCTCCCCCAGGACCAGATGCCTTCAGACTCCTGAGCCCTGGGGACCCTGTCACTGTCTCAGAGGAAGGCCCGGGGCCATCATGTGCACCAGCTTTGTGTGGACAAGCGAGCTGCGTGGGACACGGGTGGCGGCTCCAAGTGAGGTCTCTCTCCGGTTCAGACCCAGGAAAACTGGAGCCTGGAGACTGAGGAAGAAGACCCCCCCACCTCCAGCTGCGTGAGCAGGCCTCTGCCTCCCCTGTCCCTGCCACCCTGCTGCCACCCGGCTGCCACCCCTCCCCAGGCCAGGCAGCGGCTGGGTAAACATGCTGTTGGGGGAGGGGCCGGCTCCAAGTCCACTGCAGCCTGTCGGCGCCCCTCCCGCCATGCTGCTGCCCGGGGGTCTCGGCACCCACTGGGGACCACCTGCCCCCTGCGGTCTGCGCTCAGGCTGGGGCCCTGTCCTCACCACCGCACCCACCTCCTCGCCGGCTGCCAGGTGGCCCGTGGGCTCCCGCAGCCGCTGGCCTGGGAGGAGCCTCCAGCGACAAGGCCGCAGAGCCAGGACCCAGCAGTAGCACCCCCACACCACACCACCCCGGGGCCCCCCCGCCAGCCTCCTCCTCCAGCCACCTGGACCAAGGCAAGGAGGCGCGGGTGGGGGCAGGTGGCACGGTTCCTGGGTCGGGGATGCACCCTCCGGGAAGTTGGGGGCATCCACGACTGCCGTGCGGTCTTCCACCTGGGGCCTGCCCACCTCGGATATCCGGGCCCTGCAGGCGTCCTGCCCGGTGCCCGCGGCGGCTGCTGCGGCCTCGCTCAGGTGGAGAAAGAGTTAATCTCCTGGCAAAACAGCCGCGCGCCGCCCGCACTGGAGGCCGCAGTCCCGGGGAAGGTGGGGCATCCGCAGCGGACTCACCGGGGTCGAAGTGCGAGCTGAAGGCGAAGCTGGGGTTGAAGAAGGACGACGACATGGCCAGGGCCAGCAGCGCGGCGGGCATCGGGGCTCAGGACGCCCGCGGCCCCGGCCCGCGCCGCCGCATCGCCCAGGCCGCCGCAGGTGCGAGCTGCCCGCCCAGCCCGTGCCGACGGGGCTGCAGCGGCCAGCACCCCGCGCCCGCACCCCGCGCCCGCGCCTGCTCCCCGCGCGCACAGCGCCCCGCGCCTGCTCTCCCCTCCCGGGCGGCGCGCGGGCCTGGTGCAGCCGGCGGCGGGAGCGCGCGCGGGGAGGGGGGGTCGAAAAGCGGGGAGGGGGGGAGTGGGGCGCACACGGCGGGGGAGGGAGGAGGGGAGAGGATGAGGACTGCAGGACGCGGGGGGAGGGGGGAGCACCGAAAACCTGGGGCACCTAGGGCAGGGGGCACAGAGGGGAGAGGGCTGAGGATAGAGGCCCCAGAGACAGGGCTCAGAGGAGAGACAGGCACGGTGGGGATGAGGACTGGGGGGGGGAGAATGAGAGCCGCCCCCCAGGGCCTGGAGCTGTGCAGGGCACAGACATGGTATGAGAGGCAGGGGCATTTAGGGGGGCCTGGTGTACAGCCAAGGACACACCGAGGTAATGGCCACAGGGAGGTGCTGGGTAACTGACCAGCCACCTGGAGGGGACACCAAGCTGCGACCACTGTGTGAGAGAGCCCAAGACCCCAAACCTCAACAGAGGAATCAAAGTGTGGGGTGCTCTGGGAAGGGGAGTGTGGAGAGTGGGAGGAGGGGTGCTTCAACCTAGGCAGGCCGCTGAAGACTGCGTGTGCAAGGACTCTGGTGGGTGGACAGCAGGGGAAGGCGTGGAAGGTTCCCACTTCTTATGGGCTGAGGAGAGGTCCCCTTTCCCTCTAGACTGTGGGGTCTCCCACCACAGGTGGCCAGACCCCACCCACTTCTGGCCCCAGCAGGCCCACTGACCCACAGAGCTTTGTGCATGAGGACAAGGAACCACTATGAGGGGGCTCAATGTGGACCCTCCAGGGTTGTTTGTCCACCGCCACACGCAGTCTAAGCCCAGGGTCAGCAAGATTCCATAGCTACAGCTTCGCTGACCCCCTTTCCACGGGGACGGTGCTGGCAGGGCGATGTCTGTGACCCAGGAGAGGCCAGGCTGTGCAGGCCGGCCAGTACTGAGGGTCAGGCCTCTGCCCACACAGAGCCGAGCCCCAGATGCAGCTAGGGTGGCCCCTGTCACTGCTGGTCGCACCCTCCATCACTGCTGGTCAGGCACAGGAGGGATCTCTGTCCGGACCTTCAGCCACTACGGCCTGGATTCTGTGGCCAGGGTCCGAGGACAGCAGGCAGTGAGGGTGGCCCTCAGGACAGAGGGGTCACCAATGTGCCTGTTAGTACACATGCATACACACAGACAGACATACACACGCAGTCTCACGGGACACTCAGACATAAACACGCGTACACAGACATACAAATAAAAACACAGTCTTGCAGACTTCCCTGTGCAAGCATATGAGTATGAGTGCACGCATACACACACTCTCTCTCTCTCCCCCCGCCCCGTGAGGGCTCCAGTGGGTCACCTGTGTGTGGCTTACTGGAGCAGCTGGTGGCTGGAGGGTTCTCGTGAGATTGGACACTCACAGAGGCCTGTGGCCGAGCTCGGGAGGGGGCGAGCAGGAAGGTAGGGAGCTGGAACCCGGGGCTCTGTCTGTGGAGCACTTACCCACATGTTCTGGAGTCAGGGGAATCAGCTGGGTCCTTTCTGATTCCCCTCAGTCCATGTGAGTGCCACACGCTCGCATGACCACTCGAGCGCTGGCTGGCAGGATCCACCTCCAGGCACAAGGGCCAGACTCAGCGCCTGGACTCTGACACAGGACCCAGTGCACCTGCCGTGGAGACAAGGCCACCCCAGGACCACTGTGACGTCAGTTCCACTCTGCAAGCCTTCACGGAGCTCCTTGTCTCCCTCCGCACTGTGGCCGGGCGGTCCTTCGAGAGTTCCGTTAGTCTTGGCATCAGGCTTCCTTTGAGCTTAGGAAGTCCTCAGTTCAGGAAACCTGGGTCCAGAGGGACCCCACTCCCTGTCCCCTAACGTACGGAGGTCCCACTGTGCCCCGCTCCGAAGGGACTGACCTGAGGTACCACCTAGTCCTGGAGATTGCAGCCTCCGTAGAGGTGAAACAACACCAAGGACACTTCCAGCACCGGACCAAATGGAGCATAAGTACACAATCCTGAGGGTCACGGCCTGGCCAGGTCAGTGCATATTTGAGGGGAATACACAATGCAACCCTGCAGGCCTCTCCCCTGGATGGGTGGAATGGGCCCTATTGCAGCCCCAAATCTCAAAGCACTCATCCCATATTCTTGAAGTTGCACTCTGTGGAGTGGGGATGGGAGGGTCTGGCATTTACCCTGGAGACACCAGGGGTCTACACGGGCCAGGTTCTAGGCACCTTGTGGGGTGCTGACCTGCAAGGGTGCCCCCCCTGCCCTGGGAAGATGGTAGGTACTCTGAGCAGAGCAGGGCTCACCCTGCTCCCCAACCTGGCAGACAGACTATGATGGGAGGAGCTCTGTCCTTTAGAAGAGGCTCCATGACATACTTGCAAAATTGTATTTCTAATGCTCGCAACAGGGCAGGGCCTGGGTTGCTGCATTTATGGGGCAGAAGTCTACAAAGGAGGCAAGTAGGTGACTCCACCCTGGCTGCTATTCTCACCAGGGCCCAAGCTGCCCCAAGTGGCAGTGTGGGCCGTGTGCAGGGTAGGGGTGCCACAGCACCCCCAAAACTACAAGATGGCCCTAAGGCCTCAGCATAGAAATAGTGAACAGGGCCAGCGTGAGGAGGGGCAGCCCGACCTGGACGCTCTGACCGGAAACCAGGCGGGAGGGGCCGCAGGGACGAGCCAGCTGTCAGCTCCACGCAAGTGCTGCTTCTGGAGCTCAGGAGGACCCCTGCGTCCAGGGAGGGGTAGCCAAGGAGGGCCTTCTGGAAGGTTCCGTAGCACTGCCCTCCACTGAGGAGCTGGGTCCCTGGGAGCAGAAGTTTTGCTTTCATTTTTGTTTTTATTCCTGTTTTGTTGTCAGGAGGGACTCGTCCTGGAGGACATTTTCTGGTAGTAAAGTGAGGAAGCCCCTCCAGGAGCTGGGCTGGCTCAGGGCTGCAACAAAGGCCTCAGCACAGCGGCGAGCATGGGCAGGTGCCGGCCGGCCGGTTCCACTCTGCTGTGCATAGGTCACCATGACTCGGAACCAACTCAAAGGCACCTTACAGCTTTCCCATTTTATCTAAAGCAGTGCTTCCCTGGGGGTGGACAGAGCTGCGGACAAACGTCTGCAGAAGCAGAGATGATGATGATGATGATAAAAACAACCACCACCACCTACATGTGGACACATCACGAGTCACGCAGGTGAGTGGGGGAAGACGAACGGGAACACACACCCCTTTAATAGCAGGTGTTTCTACTTGTGTATTTACACACAGCTCTGGTGGCCTAGTGAAGAAGAGCTGTGCTGTCAACCCAAAGGCAGATGGTTCAAATCCAACAGCCACTCCATGCGGGGACGATGGGAAACCTCCCATGTGAGTTACACCGGGAGTGCCAGCGGTGAGTTGTTCCGACTTGACACCATGAGAATCTGAGAAAGATTCACTTGTGCAGCCAACATGCCCCTGAAGAAAGTGCACGTCCACCCATGCCCCCCAGTGCCCCCAACCTCAAGGCCAGCGTCTCTGGGGACGTCAGAGTGGACAGGAAAACCCTTTAACCTGCCCGTGAACAGCCACAGAAGATGCAGCTTCTGGTCTCGCTTTGTCTGGAGCAAAGAATAATGAAGAAAATCAAAGATGCATAGAACAACTGGTCCAAAGGACTCAGAGACCAGAACCTGGGCTTCCCCCTGGTCCACAGTGTGAACAGTCTTCCAAGCATAAAGAGAAACCTGCAACCAGAAGAGAATGAAAGAGATGAATGGGACTTTCTAAGACTCAAATCCCCATGCACATCAGAAAACTCCAACAGGGTAAAAAGGAAAGACACAGCCTGGGGAAAAAATATTTAGTAATGACATATCTGATAAGGGACTTATATCTAAAGTTTATAGACTACTCCAGCAACTCAATGAGAAAAAGGTAAACAACCCAAGAGCAAAACGGACACAGGATATGAACAGACACTTCACCAAAGAAGACATTCAGATGGCTAACAAGCACATTAAGAAATGTTCAAAATCCCTAGCTCTAAGAGAGAAGCAAATCAAAACAACTATGAGGTTTCATTTCACCCCAGTAACAACAGCAAAATTCAGCAGAGCAGCAAACAACAAATGCTGGTGAGAGTGTGGAGAAACTGGAGCTCTTATTCACTGCTGGTGGGAGTGTAAAATGGTGCAACCACTGTGGAAGGTGATTTAGTACTTTCTCAAAAAGTTGGAAACAGAAATAACATTTGACCCAGCAATTCCAATACTGGGAAAATACCCTAAAGAAACCATAATTTCTGTCTAAACAGATATATGCACACTCATGTTTATTGCTACGTTATTTACAATAACAGAGATGGAAGCAACTCAAGTTCCCATAAACAAATGAATGGATAGAAAAATTATGGTATTCATACAATGGAATACTACACAGCACTGAAAAACAATGAACTTGTAAAACATTACACAACATGGGGGACCCTGGAGCACATCATGCTGAGTGAACTATCTGAGTCACAAAAGGACAAATACTGCACAATGCCACTATTATAAAGCAGGTCTGACATGGGGGTTGGGAGGAGAATAGGATAAGAGTAGATAGATAATGACCATTGCCTTGGAACAGATGAAAGAAAGAACTACCTAAAATGAATATATGGTTAGGCATTATATGTACAACAACAGCACAGAATTAGAGGTGCATCATTGCAAAGAGGGCTGGGGCCGGGGGAGGGGGGAAGGGAGGTCATAGTGCAACAATGAATTAACATTTTCAAAAAGTGAACTGGGGGAGGGTAAGAGAGGGCGAGGGGGTAAAATGTGCAACAAGGAATGAAAAGCTAAC